AAAGACCTTCGGACTTTCTCCAGACCAGCAGTTCTCAAAGTGTGGTTCCTGAGCCAGCAGCATCAGCATCACCTGAGAGCTTGTTGCAAATGCAAAGGATCAAGCTTCAGCCTGGGATCAGAAACTCTAGGGCGGGGTCCAGTGATCTGCGTTTCAACAAGACCACCAGGTAATTCCGATGCTGGCTAAAGTTTGCCTACCCTGCTCAAACCTCTAAAATCTTAAAATAGGGCAGATCTTTGAACAGATACTACTGGGTGACTTCTGTGTTGAAGCTATGTAATTTGCTACCCCTCCCTTCCCCTGTACTTCTCAAACATCAAGTTATTAATGAAAGAATTCATTTGAAAAAACCAAGTGTTTTTTAAAAGTAATATTGATTTCCCCTCCTAGACATAGTTCTAAGGCAGGCAGTCACATGCTAGGATGCAAAATAAAATGCAGAAGAGGCCTCCTATATGAGGTGTAGAAATAGCTAAAAAGACACCCCAAGAACATAATGAAAGTTCCATAATATTGTTTAATGAACTCATAGAATTATATAAAACTTACTATGCTTTATGCTTAATATTTGTATCAAAATAAAATCTCTGTGGAACAAATTGCAAATAAAATCTGGTCTAATGCTGATTACTAAAACTATACGTGTATGAATGTCTCTGGGTTTCCTTCACGCTCCAGTTTTAGAAGCTTTAGACAACTGTATTAACTGGGTTTAGGATTTAACTGCAGCTCACATTACTAAGTCTAGATTTTTCTCCCTTCAAAAAAATTTAGAAACTCCTGTGACTGTTTCCTTAAAGTTTATTCCAAAGTAGATATTTTCCATCATTTCAAAAATTTCAAATGTTACATTAAAAATGTCTTATTTTTAATGTTTGATATTCTAGTTTAAAGTAGTAACAATACATTTTCTGAATGTCTTATAAGAATGTTAAACGTTAGTAAGAGTCACTCCTTTTAACAATGGTCTTGCAATTGCTAATTAAACAGATGTATGAAAGTAGTAAGTGTGAATTTAGCAGCTTTACAGTAAAATCTCAGCAAATAAATACCCAACTTCAAGTAGAAGGGAAATGCGAGACGCCTAATATAATGAGAAGTGTGAAGACTAGCATGCCACTTACTCTTTCATGATGATTATCTTTATAATATGACAGACATTGCTACGTGAGATTTTGAACAAGAAATCATAGAACATTATCCATTATTTCTAATTGCTGGGTAGTTTGTGGATCAGATGGCAAAGAGGGGAAAGCAAAATCAGATTAACACATTTACTTCCGAGATTTAGGAAGACACATAGGGTGGTGGTAGAAATTAAGGATTTTTGTATGTTCCGGGGGTGGCTTGCAAGAAATAATGTCTGGGAAATCACAAAGGACAAACTACTACCTTTGTGGAGCTAGGGGAAAAAAAAAAAAAAAACGGATGGTAGCCTAAATTACATTTTAAGGCAGCAATCTGTATCTTTCAATATATTTAAAGTTTTAATCTTGTATTTTTATACTTTTTCTGGGATTCCCTTTTTAGAGACAACTTTGATATGAAACAATGCCATCTATCAGGTATCTCTTTTTAAATGACTATTTCAGCAAATCTAATTTTCCTAAGAATAGCTGAAATCTAAAATTTAGCTTGAAATTGTTTTTTCAGGCCCCTGGTTCTTAGGCAAGGGTGGCTCTCTCTAGCCAAGGTAGCTAGAGATACATTCTTCTATGTTTATAGTTTTGCTCTTGACATGTATATACATGAAAAATATTAAACATGTCAGGTAACTACACTAGAGCAAGATAAGATTATATATTAATCATCTCAAAGTGAGGAAATTCAGTTAACTTTCTCAGCAATTTCAATGCCTCCATAAACAAGGAAACTATTTTCGCAAATAGGTCTTGGAGATTGCTATGTTTAATTAGGTAATGCTTATTCAGTGGGAATTCTGCTTCTTTTACTTATTCTGCAATTCTCTGAACTGAAAAGACCAACTGATGTTTACACTGAACCTGAACTTATTCTAGAATCTCTCATGAAAAAAACCACACAAAGCAGTTTGTTATTTCATATATACAAAATGACCTGGATAGAAAGCCTATCTCTCTGAGGAAAGGAAAATTAAGGTCATGTTAGTTTAAATAGTCAATAATTAACTACTGATTAATCAAAAACAAAGCTCTGCTATAACAATTTGGTAAAGTGTGTGCCAAAATGGCAGCCAAAACCCCTTTTGAAAACACACCAGAAAATATCCATGTCACACTGAATGAGGTTCTTCAAATCTTAACAAAAATTCATTTTTAGATCAGGAGAAAAACCTTTAGCATAGATACTCTACAAATGCTATCACCCAAAAGAATTTCTTTAAGATAAAAAAAGAAAATCTCAAGTAGCACTGAAATTAAAAAGTGAGATGAATAAAAAAAATAGTTCTGGCAAGAAAAAGGAAAAACCTCAGAGTGATACGAAGAACAAAGAAGTAGAAAGACATCGTGTGAACAATTAACTTCATGTAAAAGAAATCTGTTCTGGGAGAAAAGGAAGCTGGTAATACTTGGTATTATCCAAGAGCTAACATCAAAGTTCCTTTAAAAAAAAAAAACAAAAAGCAGTCTCAACTTTAAGGTTGAACCCAGGACGTAAGTTGTTTTCTAAGTCTGCTTCGTGGGTACTTGCTGATACTACCCAAGTAATACCCAGACAGCATGAATGGTCCTCAAAAGCCAGGCCTCATTTCAAGAGAAACTTAAGTGATTCCTGCAGTAAGACTTGCTCAGAACCATTATTTATCGTTGGAAAGATGGCACTGAGTAATGCTGAGGAAGAGTAAATGTGTCAGAACACACATTCGAAGCAGAATCTAAAAAGGTAGTGGATGAAGACAATATCTGAATTCCTGACCGGCTGCAGGAACAGTAAGGAAATGAGGGACACTCAGACACAGCAGAGCAGGGGACTGATAGGTAGCTATTATTTCTAGGTTTTTTTGGAAATAACTGCTTAGAACAGGGCTGTCACAACGACTTAGCAGCTTCCTTATCCAAAGCTTCCAGCATCGGTATGTACATACAAAGTGGTGGGGTGTGCACTCGACCTCTTTAAATATAAATACAAATAATTTCAAACTGATTTTTTAAAGATTCAAGTATGGAAAACAGAAAATCAGGCAATCACTCCACGACAAGGGATTAGCTGAAAGCCCTGACAAGCCAGTTCTGTCTTCCTAGTCTCAAAAACTCTTGAACATGTGTGTTGTGGGGGAGGAGAATCATCACTGCTGAAAAGACTATTTTTCACAGACATCCTCACATCAGAGAGACCTAATTTTCATGTGGGCTCTGTCTTGAGTTTCGTCATAGAGTCGGAAATACATAGCTATGTGGCAAAAAATTTTCTTTCCTTGTGACTAAAGTTATGTTGAGCAAAATCTGACCCAGTTAAATGTGGCGGTCTGACATCATACAGAGAAAACGTGGTGCTGGAACTTGCCGGCTCTTGTTTTCCAACTGTGATTTATACTAACCATTACCACGTCTGCAGTCGACCGGTCTCCATCTGCTGCCTCACATGGAGACTCACGGCCCCTAACAGAAAGCCACAGGCAAATGACCGGCACCCACTCTGAGCAGAAAGAACGGAAGAATAGAGGCACTCTTTCTTTGTCCTGCAGGCTCGCTAACCTTGAACTAAATTGTCGGGGGGGGGGGGGGGGGGGGGGGTTGCAGCTAGCCAACAGCAACTAAACTCCAGTCACAGAAGAGATGTAAGAAGTTTTCTTTACTCCTGCTACTTTTCAACCCCATTTAAAAAATGTACTGTGAATATAGAATGGCCTATTCAAAAGTAGTCCTCCAAAAAACTATTTTTGAATGGATCATCAGGATCCATTGGTTCATTAGCAATGTTTTCCAACCTTATCTTATTAAAAAAAAAAAGTTATATTGTAGTTTCAAGATATCTCTGAAGTATAAAAGTAGTACTACCAAATCAGGAAAACAATAAGGACATGCATTGTTTCAAATGTGTTACAAGACTACAACTTTTAAGAGGGTAAATGTTTTCCTTTGGATTTTACCAAAGTTCATTCAAAACAATTTTTAGACTGTAGAATATTAAGATAGCTATTTAAATTTTATATTTTTATACAAGTTCAGTGGGGTTATTTTTATAAGAATCAAAAGACATGAAAAACAAGGGTAGTTTTTTGCCCCAGATTTTGATGAATTTTGATACATCTTGGACAAACGTATTTCTTTTTAATGATGTTCCTCAAACAAAACAGCAAAATATTTGAATTGCCATATATAATGTCACATTTTAATGTAAACATCAAATAAGGTACCAAAATTTTTACTGGAGGGAAAAAAAAAAAAACCTTAAAGCGGCACAATTCTTTATACCACTGGAGGGGGAAGGGAAAGCCAGATTACAAACATTTACACATGCATAGTGAGAAAAAAAGGATTTTACTAAATTCACGCATTTTTAAAATAGTTATCAAGTCTACTAAGCACCAACAATCCTAAAAATTTTTCAGCTTCATGATTTGTTTAAAAAAAAACACACACACACTATCAAATTAACGTTAAAAACAAGCTTGAAGTATAGCTTGTCCAAAAAATTAACTAAATATGCCAATGTTTTTTCATGTTACAAAAAACAGTGGCATACAAAATACACCTGCAAAGAATGCCTTTAACTCTATCCTACAGTGGATGGAGATTACAACAGCACATCATACATAGTCTAAAACTATAAAAGTTTTAGAATGCAGCATCTTGTCACAAAAAAAAAAGCTGATAAAACTTAAAGTATTTAGAAGATGCTGCCCCTTTATTTTAAAAAATTTTAAATGAATTTAAGCAAAAATAACATACATTTGTACATCAACTGGCCATTTCTGGTACAGAAACCCAGCATATGGTAATATTATTGAATAAATGTAAATGCTACTTACAATTTTTTTTCTTTTTAAATACATTTTAGACAAAGTTTTTTTTCTCTTTTTTTTTATAGTTGCACAATTAACCTCTTAGCTGCTAGCTTGATGCAAACATATGTAACAATACACAAATTTAAAAATATTTTTTATTCTACATAAAAGCTGTCAAAAGACTCACGTCAAAAATGCAAAATAATGGAATATACTTTTAAAAAATTAGTTGCAAGTCTAGCAGCAAAGCAATTAAGTGAGAACGTATTTAATATTAAAACAAAGGGAACTGTGCATCTATAGATGAAGTCCAACTATCTTAATTCTACTGATACAAACAGAAATTAAAACATTCTCCCTTGAGGGAAAAAAAAGTGATTATTTAAAATAGGAGTAAAAGCCATTGCTGCCTGATGAGCTCCCCAGGCTAAGTTCCTGGAATAGAGACAGGGGGTCGCTACTCTTCTTGGCCTGCTCAGGCTGCGGCCTGGGCTTGGGAGGGGCCCGTAAAGCGCTGGCATAGGACATGGTGGGCTTGCTGCCCCCAGAGCCCTGCTGGCTACTGCTGTTGGCCGACTCCACGATCTGCTTGTTGGGCATGAGAGGGGGGAACTGGCCGAGATGCTGCAGCACATTATAGTTGAAGGAACTGGACACCTCGAGGTTCTCAGACTTCAGCTGATCCTCAGGGGCTTTGACGGTCTTGGGTGGAACTAAAAGCAGAGAACAGTAATACGATTTAAGGGCACACCCAGCAACATTTGTCCATCTGGTCAGCTCAGGGTATCACAACTGGTTCCCATCTCCAGGAACTCAGTGATAGTATAGCCCACGAGGACAGACCACTTCTGCCACAGAATGCTGAAATCACAACACATCAAGGGGCGCCTGGGTGGCTCAGTCGTTGAGCATCTGCCTTCGGCTCAGGTCATGATCCCAGGGTCCTGGGATCAAGCCCCACATCGGGCTCCCTGCTCAGCACAGAGCCTGCTTCTCCCTCTCCCACTCCCCCTGCTTGGGTTCCTGCTCTCACCATCCCTCTCTCTGTCAAATAAATAAAATCTTAAAAAAAAAAAAAAGAAATCACAACACATTTTATCAAATGTCTCAATCTCATTAATAACACTTACAAAAGAATTAACTATGTAAACTGGAATAGCTAACATATAAAACTAAAGGTCAAAGACGAAGGTTTGCTTCGAGAAACTAATTTTATATGTGTACGCTGTGGTATTTATTATATAACTGCTCAACTTTGAAAGTGGGAACATACATGTTCTTTTTTAAATAGAAAGGAGCTGTGTACGCAGACTTCTGGTCAAACAGATCTTATGATTAACTTAAGTAATAGTAACATTGGATTCCATTTCTTAAAAATGCTTCCTTTTCTTGTAATACATAAGTAAACACAGAATATGGTGGAAGAAAAACGGCTATGAATTTTTCTTCACGTTTCCTGTAATGTAATTTGCCTGACTCTTAACATCCTTTAAGATTCAACCTCACTTTTCCCAATTTTATTGTCCACTAAACCATGACTTGTTTTCAAACACTGTTTTTTTCAATCTTTTCAATGTTTAACTAAAGTGGGGGGGAGGAAAAATAATTTTCCCTCTACTCTTGTAGGTTCTTGGCTAAGACACCGCCGCCCCCCCCCATAGTAAGACAGATTAACAAGAGAAAAACAACAGAAGTTTAATAAACATGCACACTTTCTGTATACATGAGGGAGATCCAGGAAACCTGAGTAACTCCCCGAAATGGTCCAAGCCAGCAACTAAAATAACATCTCCAGCTAAAGGCAAAAGAAGATGTTGGGGGTAGGGGGCAGTTATGCAAGGTTACCAGGAAAAGCACAGTGAACAAGGGTAAGGTTGTTATGCAGGGTTAAGTTAACTTAAGGGTAAACTGTTGTCTTCTCCATGGATAGTTTCCAGAAATTTAGAATCATCCTTCTCTTCCTGGCACAGAGAGGGAGATACTCTTAAAAATAGAGATTTCCCTTGTAAATGTAAATCTCTCTTACAAAAGGGTAACTCTCACCCAGTTTTCAGAGCTTCTATGTCTATAGTTTCTTAAAAATAATCAGCCTAAAATAATCTTTATGCCAAAAAAGCCTATTTGAGGGTGGCAAATTCTACTCCCCTTCACTAATATTGTATTGGATTATAATCATAATACATATTCATTGAGGATAATTTGGAAATTACAGAAAAAGCCAAAAAGGGGGCGCCTGGGTGGCTTAGTCGTTAAGCCTCTGCCTTGGGCTCAGGTCATAATCCCAGGGTCCTGGGATCGAGCCCCGCATCGGGAACCCTACTCAGTGGGAAGCCTGCTTCTTCCTCTCCCACTCCCCCTGCTTGTGTTCCCTCTCTCTCTCTGTCAAATAAACAAACAAACAAACAAACAAACAAACAAAAAAGGCCAAAGAGGAAAATAAGTCAACCACATTCCCGTATACCACAGATAAGCCTCAACTTGTTGGTGTGCTTCTTCCTAAAGACATCATATACCACCGATACTTCGTAAGCTATTTAACCTCTCATTTTTAGAAATTTGGATTATAGTCAATTTTTCACCTTAAATACTGTGATAAATGTTATTATAGACAAATATCTATTACAGACAAATATTCACTACTACTTCCTTATGATAAACCCTAAAAGTATAATGCCTGAGTCCTAAGGTATATACACAATTAAAGCTTTCGATAACTACAGCCAAACTTCCCTGCAGACAGATACTGCCTATATACACTCCGCCAACAATGCTTGCTCATTTCCCCACCCAATCACAAGACTGGTGTTATTTTTTTAGCCTTAGTCTATTTTATAAGTAAATAGCTTGTTGTAGCTCTAATTTGCATGTCTTTGATTACTGGTGTTTATGATTTTTTCCCTATGTTTATTATCTATTTGTGTATTGGGACATTAAAGTGAAAATACTTCATTTTTTAGTCTTAGCATTTCATTGATTTAATATGGTATTTTCATAGTACTATTTTAAAACTACAAATTCATAAAATTGTTCAGGGGCGCGTGAGTGGCTCAAGCCCCACATTGGGCTCTGTGCTCAGCTCGAGTCTGCTTGAGATTCTCTCTCCCCCTTTTCCTCTGCCCCTCACCCTCCTCATGAGCTTGTGCGCGCATGCGTGCTCTCTCTCTCAAAATAAATAAATCTTTTTTTTTTTAATTCATAAAATTGTTCAAAATTACTTTAGGGACACCTGGGTGGCTCCGTCAGTTAAGCATCTGCCTTCGGCCCAAGTCATGATCTCAGGATCCTGGGATCGAGCCCCACATCAGGTTCCCTGATCAGCAGTGGAGTCAACTTCTCCCTGTCCCTCCACCGCTCATGCTCTCTCTCGCCCTCCACCCCCTCTCTCAAATAAATAACATCTTAAAAAAAATTTTAGTTTAAACCACATAACATATTTTTGGAACATTTTTCACTCGTCCAGCTAGGTGTCACTGATTTTGCAAAACAATTACTTTTAAGAGCATTAGTTTAACAACATTTCATGATGAATCACTGAATTCTACTCCTGAAACGAGTATTACACTATATCCTAATTAACTAGAATTTAAGTAAAAACTTGAAACATAAAAAACGAACATGCCAAACATTTCAATATGTTAACAGTGGCCTGTACTACCTAATATAACATAAATATTTTATTGGTGGTTCAAAAACCTATTGTTCTTATTTACTTTGCTAAGATTTATTATTTAACCATGCTCTCGTTTTCATGACAATATAATTAGAGTTTAAACTATTTTCAACTAAATAATCAATACTTACAAAATAACGCCAGAGGCAGTTTAACCTAATGCCTACATTCTTACTGAACCACAAATTGAAGATCTCTATTAATGTGACTTACCACATATTCTCTAGATAAGAGAAACTATCCTTTAAAACTATTACTAATCTGATACCCAGTGATATTTTTCAAAGTGCGTATCTCTACCTAATCTTAAATTTTCATCCGTACATTACTAGAGAATGTCTGATAAAGTACCCATCGTCCCCCGGTGGGCATCACCAGCTGTAAAGGCTGAGCAGTGTGACGAGACTGCCCACCCACCCCCTCAAGCGCACAGGACCTATCTGCATTATCTTCTTACTCAGCAGACATTCACCAAGAGCTTGAAGTGTGATCAGTGACAAAACAGGAAACCCAAAGTTCAAAAAGGTCAAAGACACAATTCTCTGCTCTCAGGCTTTCAATTGTGGAGAAAATATGACATCAGACACATTGACCACTTTTAAATTCCAAACCAATATGATATAAGCAGTTTTCTTTAACTCAAGAAGTCTCAAACTTCAGAAAGAAGTTTCCCACGTGGTGACTATTTTCCTTCTGATTCACCACTGGCAATGGCTGCATTTCTCTAAAAATGAATAAATAAATAAATAAATACTGATGGACAGGAAGTTGTGCTTCAGGATACTTGTGGTCTTGAGTTCATTTTTTTTAACATTTAACTGTTACTTTCAACTAAAGAATACTACAATTTGTCTGCTAGTAATGACAAAATAACAAATGTATGTTTGTGGAAAGGATACCATAAAATGACATGTGCTTTGGACAGTTATTTAGAAACTTTCTACCTTATCAGTTCAAGTCAGGTTTTTACTGATTTGGGCCAAAAGTTATCCTAAAATATAAGGTGGGGGAAAAAAAAGAGAGAGAGAGAAAGAAAGGATATTGTTTTTAAAATAAATTATAATTACTCAGCCATCAAAAAGAATGAAATCTTGCTGTTTGCAACGACATGGATAGAACTAGAGTGTATTATGCTAAGTGAAATAAGTCAGTCAGAGAAAGACAAATATCATATGATCTCACTCATATGTGGAACTTAAGAAACAAAACAGATGAACATAGGGGAAGGGAAGGAAAAATAAAATAAGAGAAAAACAGAGAGGGAGGCAAACCATAAGAGACTCTTAACTCTAGGGAAATAAACTGAGGGTTGCTAGAGGGGAGGTGGGTGCAGGGATGGGGTACCTGGGTGATGGGCATTAAGGAGGGCACTTGATGGAATGAGCACTGGGTGTTCTATGCAACTGATGAATCACTGAATTCTACCCCTGAAACTAATAATACAGTATATATTAACTAAATGAATCTAAATTAAAAATTTTTTAAAGTAAAAATAAATTTAAAAATAAAAAATTATAATAAAAAATAAATGATAATAAACAAAACAACTAAAAATTAACAAATCCTTATCACTGATTTGTAATTGAGATGTTTCTCAAGAAAGTCAGGTATGATAATATGAGTGTATATATGTCAGACCTTTAAAATGACAAAGCAACCCCAGGAAAAATACAGCAGCTTATACATTGTAGGTATTAATGAATGTTTAAAAATTAAAATGACAATGTCTCTTGCCAGGAAACAAAACCAAAATCTTTCTAATGCTTTTGTCCTACTATGTCTATTGTTCTAAAAATATGCTTATATGGCATATACTCAAAAATGGGTCAGTTACAGAAACAATAGATTCACATTCTAAAGATGAACAAAATTAAATTCAAATACAAAGGTTGATGCCACCAGGGCAGAAATTCATCCAACAAAGATCACAGGCTTGTTCACAAAGATCAATGTCTACGGCCTACAAAGAGAAGGCTACAGGTTGGAGAACTCAAATAGTATCATTTGTTTCCTTACATTTAATATTAAAAAAAAGAGGAAATGAGAGGAAAGATAAAAGTTCAAGGCTAAAGACTTTAAACTTCCACTGAACAATACAGTATAGGGCCATTCCAATGCCTTCCTATGCCTTTTTTTTTTTTTCCTCTTTAGCTTTGGATTTCTCAGTCCATTAGAATACAAGGAATAAACACAAGATTTCTAGCTCCAAATGTTGGACTTCCTTAGTTTCTCTCCTGGCCAAACTCTATTGTGTAGCAAACGACTTTATTGACAATAAAACCTTGAAGACTGACCCAACCAATTCCTCCCACCCCTAATCCTGAATGAATGAATGAATGAATAAAATAAAAATAATAAAAAGCCAGGGGCGCCTGGGTGGCTCAGTTGGTTGAGCGACTGCCTTCGGCTCAGGTCATGATCCTGGAGTCCTGGGATCGAGTCCCGTATTGGGCTCCCTGCTCGGCGGGGAGCCTGCTTCTCCCTCTAACCCTCCTCCCTCTCATGTGCTCTCTCTCCATCTCTTATTCTCGCTCTCTCAAATAAATAAATGAATTAAATCTTTTAAAAAAAATAATAAAATAAAATAATAAAAAGCCAGAAAACAAACTTCTCCCAAGCAAAGGTGATTCTATTTAGAAATACACCTTAAATTCCATTACTTCTTTCATTCATTCACAGGTCAAAATGATCAAAGTGATGAGCCCCCAGAGACAGATCTACTTCCCTTCCAGACCATAAATATGGACTCAATATAGTCCTAATTAACACTGAATGCCTAAGACACACCTATGAGCTATGAGCATTAAATGTTATTCCAAGACAATAATGTAAATGGGCTGGGGGAGGAGAAGAAAAACTCCAATACCCTGGAGCTGAGTAGTGAGAACTGCAGTGTTAGCAACCCACCAACTGTGGCTTACCTATTAGCTCTCTGGGCTGAGCTGTCCTGCTGGATCCATTACACGGAATGTTCTGATAGGGGGTAGATGAGGTGGTGTTTACCCAGGACTCCGGGGACGAAAAGTTGAAAGAAGATTGGTTATTATGGTCCTGGAGCTCTTTACACTGAGCAAGACTGTCTTGAGGAGTGCTTACTTCTTCAGAACAAGGCTGGACTGAGCTAGATGAGATTCTTCTTTGGTACAAGGGCCGACCAGGTCCTCTGGGTTCATACTACACAAAGAAAAAGGACATTTCATAAATCAATGAAACTTAGACCCCCTCACACCCTTTGGTACACAGCCATCTTACTGTATTAAACAGCAATTCTCCAAAATACTCTCCTCTGGGACCATGACCCCTCCCCACTCCCCGCTCTGGACACCGTTCTCGCCCTTAGCAGGCAGTCCTAGGACAACACACGTCTCATTTCTGATTCTGTTTTCTTGTCTGTAAGATACGGAGCTGAACTACCTGTCTTTGGTTCTAAAACTCTATTGCCATCTTGGGGAACATTAGACTGAGAATGAAGATCAAAATTAAATGGGGGAAATTACAGTCACGATCAACTGAACCACAGCCACCTTGAACAGTAACCCATTCTAGACTTCTCCCTTGTGCCGAATCTTCACAGCCTCCCGATTTATTATTCCTTAGACTTGATGGCAAGACAGGACTCCTCTGGCCCAACATGAAGTGCTCTTTGCCTGCGCGTCCTTTCACATAGTCGTCAACTGACACAGAACATTATTTTCTTAAAAAAAAAAAAAAAATCCTTTAGGGGCACCTGGGTGGCTCAGCCAGTTAAGCGTCTGCCTTCGGTTCAGGTCATGATCTCAGGGTCCTGGGATCGAGTCCCACATCAGGCTCCCTGCTTCTCCCTCTCCCTCTGCCCCTCCCTCCTGCTCATATGTGTGCACTCTCCCAAGTAAATAAATACAATCTTTTAAAAAAAAATCCTTTAGGGTGCCTGGGTAGTTCAGTTAGTTAAGCATCCGACTCTTGGTTTCAGCTCAGGTCATGATCTCAGGGTGGTGAGATCGAGCCCCACATCGGGGGGAGAGGATCTTTCCCTCTTCCCCCACTTGCGCTCTTGTGCTCGCTCGCTCTCTCTCTCTCAAAAACACATCCTTGATACATTTGAAACCCAACTAACCTACTCCTTTTATTTTTTCCTCCCTAAACTGCACACCCCAGATCCCTTTAACCCTCTCAACAAGAGCCATCGGCCACCCATTTCAAGATTTTTTACCATTCCTCACATATTCTCGGATTTCTTCCTGCCTGACTGCTGTGACCGATACTCAGCCTCCATTTTGGTGGCAAGGCAGTATGAGTAGCAGTTAGGTGTGGAGTCTCAGTCTGGAGCCAGACTATCACCTGGGCAACTGACCTAACCTCTTGGGAGCTTTGTCTGCAAACGCAGCTTCATGACCCACAGGACCTACCTCTCAGGACTGTGGTAAGAATTAAATGAGTTCAGCATGTACAGCATTAAGAACTGTTCCTGGCACACAGGAAGGGTTTGCTGTCATTCAAGTGTTTTATTACAACATATAAAGATAAGATTCCAAGTATATCTCAAATGATGGAATGAGACTGACTTTTTATTGCACCCCTCCCTCTTCCCCAATAATAGATTTACTATTCACTTTGTGATCATTATGATTCTGAGGAATCTTTCTTTTGCCATTGCTGTTAGCAATAATTGGAAATCCGGAACTGGAGATTAGATTACAAAGAAGAGACAGAGAGAGATGAATTAGCACAGTAATAGCAGGATGTTTGTTGGGAATATAAAACAACACAAACTGATATTCTCAAGCCAATTGAACAGAAGAAATTGTGGATATAAGCACTGTGAGGGTAAAGTCATCCCAGATGAACCACTAGGATATGAAGCAGGGGAGGGAATGGGCCTAGACTGCCTGCCCTTGTTCAGAAAGGCAGGAAAGGATAGGAGGAAAGCAATTTTCTCACTATTAAATGATGAGTGTCTAGGTCATTTCTTCATTTCCAAACTTTTAGTTACTGGATGAGGAAGGCAAGAGATAATACTTCCATCTGGCTAGTTCTTTTTTTCATATATTTTTATTGCTCTTCTGTCTCTAAGTATAATATCGAAATTCACCTTTAATTTTGCTCTGCTTTAAAAGAATGTTTTCACTGATTAAGATCATTCTGAATTTGATTCTGGTTTTCTAGAATATAACTGTCAACTATGAATTTAATCAGCACATTTGAAATTTCTTTGTCTAGGTCATTAAATTATGGTGTTCAGTAGAATAACCAACCCTCCTAAACTGCTTCATGTTCTCTAGGGCTAGGCAATCCCTGAATGACTAATGACAATAGCTTGTGCAGTGTGTCTTTTTTATCAAGGTTTATTATGAAGATCATCAGCTCCTAGAATCAAAATGAAGTGTTTCTTTTTATTACCATGCCCTCAGTGTTTAGTAATAAGCCCAGTCACAATCTGCAGGGAATCACATTCTAAAATCTTTACATGTGAATATGAAAATACAAAACTAACATCTGTTAAGGCCTCAGAAAGAACAGGTTATGATAATCAAATCCCCTGGTGATACAGAACACTAAATATACTCATAAATTTCAGGCATTAGCTTTATGTCTTTTTTCATTAAATACTATGCATACGTATGCTGGTAGTATAAACAAATACCTTTTTACAATGAATAGATATATAAACCACAAAGCTTAAATGAGGAAAACTAAAAATCAGAAAGCGACAGAAAGCTGATATGAAAGGAGACAATATTCAATTAAGCTTTTTAGAAAATGTGTATCAGGGTGCCTGGGTGGCTCAGTTGGTTAAGCGACTGCCTTCGGCTCAGGTCATGATCCTGGAGTTCTGGGATCGAGTCCCACATCGGGCTCCCTGCTCAGCAGGGAGTCTGCTTCTCCCTCTGACCCTCCCCCCTCTCATGTGCTCTCTCTCATTCTCTCAAATAAAATAAATAAAATCTTTAAAAAAAAAAGAAAATGTGTATCATTTGTATCATTCAACTGAAATCCAAAAAAAAAAAAAAATCACACAGTTGACATGCATAGCAGGAACTGTGGAAGTACTGTCTAACATATTTATTATAATAGTTCCTAAGCTGCTTTTACCAAAGATGAATGTGCAGATGAAATATGAAATTCTATTTCAAATCACATCATAAATATGACTGATCCTTTATGTCAGAAAAGGAACCAAAACTTGAAATTGTTTTTAAAAAGTCTACTGGTACATCTATTTCATACAACATAGATGAAGGTAATGCATGAAAATATGATTTGCTACTTTGGAATCTGCCCTCAAAGGAATTTGAGTAAAGGCAGAGAAATCTTGATGACAACTTAAAAAAAAAAAAAGGTTCATATACCAAATAAACTACATTTTAGCAGTTCTATAGTTTTCAGCATCAGATCTATACAGTTTTTGTTAGATTTATACCTAAGTATTTTATTTTTCTCTGGGCTATTTTAAATGGTATCGACTTGTACATTTTGGTTTCCAATTATACATTGCTAGTATATAGAAATGAGATTGATTTGTGTGTGTTGATCTTATAACCTGAAACCTTGCTATAGTCCTATTAGGTCATAGGATTTTTGTTGGTTTGTTTTCTGGATAGATTCCTTGGGCTTTCCTACACTGATAATCATGTCATCTTTGAATAGGGAGAGTTTTATGTCTTCCTTTCCAATCCCTATGTCTTCTATTTCTTTTTCTTGCCATACTGCTTTGGCTAAGATTTCCAGTACAATGTTGAATAGGAGTGTTTAGAGTGGACATTTTACCTTGTTCCTAAGTCTTAGAGAGAAAGCATTCAGTCTCTACCATTAAATATGATGGTAGCTGTGGGATTTTTATAGGTGCTCTTTAAAAGGTTGAGGAATTTCTATTTCTAATTTGCTAAGAGCTTTTATACATCACAGATATTGTATTATATCAAATGTATGTGGCTTTGTGGGGTTTTTTTGGGGGGGGGGTAATATCTCCCAATATAATCTTGTGATTTTTCACTTTAGACAGTATGGAGGATTACACTGATTTATTTTCAAATACCAAACCAGCTTTGCATTCTGTGGTCTCCACACTGGTGTGCATGTTAAGTAGGTGCCACATGCCGCATGGCCCAGAGCAGGACTATGACCTGGCATGGTCATAGTGTATTATTCTTTTTTATATATTGCTGAATTCAATTTGCTAAAGTTTTGTTGAGTATATTTGCATTAATGTTCACAAATATCAGTCTGTAGTTTCCCTTTTTTGTACTGTCTTTGTCTAGTTTTGGTATCAAAGTAATGTTGACCATATACAGTAAGCTGAAAAGTGTTCCCTTCTCTTCCATTCTCTGGAAGAGATTGTGCAAATTGGTGGCATTTCTTTTTTAACATGTTTGAAGGAATTCAGTAGTGAGCTATCCAGGCCTGAAGATTTCTTCTTGGGAAGGTTCTTAAACTACAAACTCAGTTTCTTTGATAGTCAATAAATATTTAACCAAAAAAAATTAAAATGCTCAAAGTTGAATACCATATTTTCTATTTAATTTTCTCAAGATTTGAGGAAGAAATTTGTGACTACAAAGCCCTCTTGGGCTCTACTAATTTACTTCAATTTAGCTCTTCATAAGGTTATCATCTTATGTTTAAAGCAAAGGTGCCATAGTTTCGTGGAGAGGTACAAAGCAACCCAGAAAGAAAGAAACTAGAAAGGAGGGAGGAGAGAAGTATCCCTGTTAGATTAAAAACAATCAGTATTAGCAAGCTAGGCAAAATGTGACGGATAAACTACAGTTTGCAACAATAATGTCTATGGGTTCATGTGATGCCATCTATTGAAAAGTACTTGACAAATTATAAAAAAGTATTTTTTAAAAAGGCATGATTCCCAGTTAGTGGTAGAGACTGGCCCAAGACTCCACTAAAATAATAATAAATGAATATAAAAGATCCAAAACAGTCAAGACCAAATGACCAGCCACTAATAAAGGACACATTTCTGGAATATATGGAGACAATGGAGGAATACTGTCTGTGAAAAAAGAGCCACAACTAAGAAGGGAACCAATCTGCCCTACAAAATTCCAGAGGCTCAAGCCTCAGAAACACCAGCTACCATGACAAGTGGAGTGATAAACGTGGGGGGTTAAATGAAAGTCTGTGCAGGGAACAGCTGGTCTCACTCCACATTCCCCCCAACAACCAGAGGAATTCAAGCATTA